GTTCCCTTTTTAGCACCATGCATCTTATCCACTGAAATATCCACACACACACACACACACACACACACACACACACACACACACACACACACACACACACACACACACGTAATAGACACGTGAAATTCCGTCCTCTATATTCAAAAGACTTTCAGGAGTAGTTTGGAGAAAAGTCTCAAACCTGAAAAGCAGAGTTTTACCTTGCTGATCTGAAATTCCAATCGACGTATGTGTCTCTCCAGCGCTCTGAGCTCCTGTGAAAGCAAAGACGGTTTTATTTGATTAACGTGTGGATGTTGGTTTATTATGTTGTTTATTTAAAACAGAAATGAAAATAGGAAACAAAGAGAGAAACACAAAGTTTACCTTTTCCAGATCATAGAAAAAAGCCTGAAAATAGAGAAAAGGGATCGTCATCATCAATTAGTTTGGAACTGATTGTTCTGCAGTGCGACCTCATAATTATTGTCACTGATCACAGACTCCATCTCAGACATACAACATAACCCAGGATTCATTGCGCTTCAGTGACGAAGAGTAATTTCCACACGACGAGACGAGACGAGACGAGACTTTTTTAAATGTTGGTCTCAGACCTCGACTCGACTAAACATTCTGTCTCACGTGTCGTGTCTCAACTCCCTCGTCATGTTAAACTGCAGCGTCACGTCACAGTGAAGCTGACCTTTGACCTTTGACCACCAAACTCTCATCCGTTCACCCCCGAATCCAAACAAACGTGTTTGTGCCAAAACTGAAGACATGTCCTTCCTGTCGCTCTGAGAAATCTCAAACATGAAGATGAGTTCTGAACACAGGGATTCTCTCTCTCTCTCTCTCTCTCTCTCTTCTCACCAGTCTGGAGTTCCTCTTGGTCTCTCTCTGCTGTGACGACAGGAAGTCCATCTCCGCCTGGTGACCCTCCAGATACTCCCTGCATCGACGTCACCACGACAACACGTGAGATTCACATTCAAAGCAGGACTCAGACATGTTACGAGAACATCGCACTAAACTAAAGTAAAACCAGGATCTTCTTCTTACATATTTCTCTGACTCACGTGATGAATAGTTCTTCACAGGAAATGGTTTTATGAAATGACATGTGACTGCTGCGTCAGTGACGGTTGAATTTAACCCTGAGCGGCGGTTGCAGGATCATATGGATTCTCCGTCACGTGGTTTACGTACTTGAGTCCTTTGCGTAGCGCCTGAAAGACCCTGTCCACCTGCTCCGGCTGCAGGGACCAGATCCCTCCACCCGCTCTGCTGGGAGACGGGTGCATCCGAGACTTGCCCCCCGACGCGGCTTTGGAGCGGAGAGAGTTTCGTGCAGAGGACGGACTGAAAACAGAGAAACACAACACATGCAGAGAATTTAGATTTTTTTACATTAGCTTATGTTTCTATTGCTTTGTGCAGAATTATCTATTGAGGTTTTGTTTGTGTGTGTTTCTCACACACAGGAAGTACATTCCTGCTCTCTCTCTTTTTAAACGTGACATTTGGTTCCCTCTCTCTCTCCCTCTCTCCCTCTCTCTCTCTGGGGACGGACATCTTGCGTCTGTGACTTTGTTCATTAACCAATAACATGTTCAATCTGCGGTGCGTTCACTGTCTGCCCGTCGTTTGAGGTTGAAGTGGTTTTTCCTTCCACACGGCATCAGATGGTTTTGTGTAAAATCACGTTTCACCAACAGATTTTCTTTTCTTTCATTTGTTGTCTGACACAATGAAAAACTGAATCTGTGTAATTTCCCTCAGATTCATCTTCAGCCTCCAGTCATTCATCCTGACAGTTATTATGGGAAAAAAGCTCCAGTGGGGGAATTAATCCTCAAACACTTGCAGCCTCACAAACATTAGTTTTTTTACACAGCAGCAGTTGTGTTTGGTGGCAGGAACGTTTGCACGAGAGAAAATACGACGTGACAGAGTGTCCTGTTCACGCCGCTGTCAGGAGATTATAGGTTGAAAGGTTCTGGGGGAGCTGCACGTGAGAACAGGTCTGAAGCTCACACGTCATGTCCTGCCTCCTCACGAACTCCGGAAAATGGGAGGAGGCCTGGGAAGAAAAATAGTTTTCATGCTCTCTAACATTGTGAGTGGTTCGGTGTCACTCACCGCCGTCGTCCGCTCAGAGAGCTGAACCCGGTGAAGGAGCGGCTCCTGTGCACCAAGCCTCCGTCTGAGGGGGAGTCGAATCGCAGCTTCACCGACATCCTGCGGAGACACAGAGATCAGTCGTGTTCTCATCATTCGTTTACAACCTGTGTCATCGACTTCTCTCGTCTGTTTCCACCTTGTTGTTTACGTTCACTTCGCTACACACGTGCAAACACTTACATCAACAAGACCACCCTAAACTCCCAGACCCTCCAGAACAGGAAGCAGAGGGGCAGCATCTCTGGGACACATTAACCAGAGGAACATCTTCAAACACAAAAATGTGCACGTCCCTGGTTTACAGCTGGAGGACAGTTCTTTATTTACAGTAGAAGTTCAGAGCAGATGGTGGAGCAGTAATTTTATTCTGAAGGTCCAGGGCTGCAGGTGCTGGTTTTATCTTCATGTTCATGTTCCTTGTTTTAATCTCAGTGTTTTTAACATCTAGAACATCTTTTGTTCAAGTCTGAGATGATGCATGTTCCTCTCCGACCTCACACTCTGATGCCTCAATAAGCTGCTTTAAATGTTCAATGTTTTTTTCTTCCCAAACGAAAAAAGCTTTGATTTTTCCTCACTCACTAGTGGACGATTAAGATTAAAATCAAAATCAATGGATTATTCAATGAGAAAATAACGAACAGGTGTAAAAATGCTCCAGTAGTTTTAGTGTAATCCAGCTCACAAACTATTAAACAAACAAAAACATAACCTCTGTGGCGAAGGTGATTATTTCCTGGCAGCTGAACACGTCCACCGACCAGTGAAGTTACAAGAACCTTGGTCATAATCTGTCATGTCTCCGTCTGTTCCTGAGGTATGAATAATAATACTTGATAATATATATATATACTCTGAAAATTCAACATTGTTACTTGACTTAAACTCACTAAAACTGTGTTTATTCTGTTAAACACCTGAAACAACTGAACTTTTGAGAAACCTTTTGACTGTGTTTAATAATTAATAACACACTTTCTTGTGTCTCAGCCTCAGCTTGGTTTTCTTGTGACCATCATGTTTCATTGGTTCGTGTTTTATTTCGATATTCTCTTCACTTCCTGCTCCACCTGTGTCTTGTTGTTGGTCACTTTAAACCTGGCCCCTCCCCCAGATCACCTGTCCTCATGTGTTGTCCTGCCTCCATTTTGTGATTTGATTTTCTCTGAGTTTAGTTCTGCTCATGTTTGTTCCCCAGTTTTTCTCACGTTGAGTTTTTCTCACGTTGAGTTTTTCTCACGTTGAGTTTTTCTCACGTTGAGTTTTTCTCATGCGGCTTCAGTTCTGATCGTTGGATCTCTGAGTGTTTTCACATAGAAACTGTAAGTTTGCTTATTTAATGAACTTCTCTTTCCTCCACTGTCACATCCTCCTCCAACATCTGCATTTGGGTCCTCAGCTGATTCTAAATGTGACACAATTTAAAATCTAATCAGTTCGTCCATGAGTCCAAATCACATTTGGCGTCCTGAGATATTACATTCATGAGAATGGGGCAGACTTTTAAACCTGTGATCAGATTAAAAATGTCCAATGTCCGTTGAAGTCTAAGATGTTCTCGTGGCTGAGTTTCTTTTTGCTCTGCGTAAAATGTGATTTATTCGTAAAGACAATGACCACAAACACATTTCCTTCAGGAAGGTGAAGAGGAAATGAAAAGTAAAATGGTCAGAGAGCGAAGAAGAGCAGACGATGTTTCTCACACAGGTAAACATGCTCCTCCTCCACAGATAAACACACTCACACACAGTCTGGACAACATCTGCACGGAGACGTCCGTGTGGTTCCTCTGACTCTGATTGAAGCTAGAACCAAAAGAGTTCAGAGCGAGTGGATCTAAATAAAAAGAAAACGTCTCCGCTCAGCGTCTCTCTCTGAATGAATGTTTGTGAACATCTGTCAGCCTCTGTCTTATTTCTGAACTCTGCTCTTTTTCTGCAGATTTTCAAAATAAAAGCCGAGCTGGAGTGGATTCATTCCTAGTTTTGCTACGAGCAGAATCGAGGTCATCCGCTCTGAGTTTGACGCCCACCGCTCGACGAGGACTTGAACCAACGCACTGCCAGTGTAAGTAAATCAGAAGAACCCGGTTTGGACGAGTCCTGACCCAGAATGTAAAATACACCGTGGTCCTGATGCCAAAAACAACACTGTCACCTAGCAACCACACATAACACACGAGGGATGGAGAAACCAGGTCGGATGAACCAAAGTCAGCCAACTTACACACACACACACACACACACACACTCGAACGTAAAGTTTTTTCTACTGTTTGTTTTGGACGAGGCGGCCGAGGTCTGTGTAGTGATGATGACTTTCCGTCTCTCTGACAGAAATTAACGTCCACCATGTTTGTCTCCGTTGATTAATGACATTAACTCTGGAAAGTAACTGAATATTTTCTCACATACCGAGAGTTTTTTTTTTTTTTTTTTTACCTCAGCAATGAGTGGCCTTCTCTGCAGGCACATGATCGCTCATCTTCTCTTAACACCATCGTTTTACAATATTTTTGCACTGCACAATAACACAAGCACGTCCCTGAATGTCCAAGGACAAAAGGTGAGAGGCAAGAGGTGTTAACGTCAACTGGATGATGTACTTCTACGCTGTGTGTGAGTGAGTGAGTGTGTGTGACAACAGGAAGTTCTTCACTCGTGTGGTTTAGGAAACTGACTGACACTCCTGATAGAATCTTTTCAGCAGCATCTTTCTAGTGTTATATCTGTATTTATGTGTGTGTGTGTGTGTGTGTAAACCCGTGGCAGCTGCTGAACAAATGCTGACTGCGAAGCTTTAAGAAATGACAAACATGACGGGGATCAGCTCGGGCGCGTTCGTCTGAGAGCTTCAGACGCACATAGCTGAGTCCTGGCTGAACGCCACGACGACCAGCTGTAACGAGAACACGCATCCACCCTGAGACGAGCATAACGTCTGTTTTCTGATCCGTCTCCACCCGTACTCACCGTCACATCCTCCGATTCTTCAACATGTCGGTGAACAAATCACCTGTAAAAAGCTTCAGCTGCTTCAGTCGATCACATCATGCATTTGTTTTTTCCACTTTATTCAAGAGCGTGGTCTTTGAGAGCAAACGCGTTGATTTCATCTTCAGATTTTTGTAAAGCTTTCACTCAGAACCTTGCACTTGCACTCTTATATAGCCTGCTTGTGCTTCAATTTTCTCTTTTGACAGACTGGACTTGTCTTGGTGGACAGAAGTAGAGCTGAGGCTCAAGTGCAAGAAACCAAACATCTGAGTGCAAGTGCACAATTTTAACACAAACTCTAAAATCAGAGAAAATCTAAGCACAAGCAGGGAATATTTGAGTTCAAGCGCAGGGTTCTGAGTGAAAGCTTTACACAATCTGAACGTACTCGTGCTGTCAAACTGAAGAAAAAGTCCTCGCAGCACAGAGATGTGCAGGCGGACAGGTGTAATCGATGTAAGTAAATGAAATTAGAAGACAGAAGCGTGAAATAAATAAATAGTAACTTGAGTAAATTAATTAAACCATAACTAAACTGAAAAGATCAGAGCAACATTCACAGGAAATGACCCAGATCTACTTCATGTTTAATATCCTGACACACCCTCTGCTCCTGTTAGTGAGCTGGTTAAACAGCGTCTCACACACACACACACACACACACACGCACACACACACACACACACACACACTCATGCACAGCTGAGCTCTTGGATGCTTTACACTGAGACTGCGTCTGTAGGAAAAAGACAAATGGAGCAGAAACAGAGAAATAACATCTGACGGAAAAAGAAATCTGAGAAAAAGGGAATATTTGAAAATCAAATTTCAGTGAGCTGGTTTTAAGTTGGTTGATCAATTTAAGAACCAGGTTTCTTTTCCACAGTCGAGCGCCACGTCATGACATCACACTCAATGTCTCTGATTTCCCAGGAACATCTGTGCCAACTTCAGTCACAACATCAACCAGGGACGACAGCGTCTCCTCGAGTGCTGCCCCCTGGCTCTCTAAATGTACGTGTGCATCCAGACACGACGGATCTGAAATATTCAATCTTCATAACAGACTACACACACACACGAGATAATCTTAATGATTCTTTCTTCTAGACCAGCGACGTGTTGAAGAAACTGGCTAATCGTAGTATCCAGTATTAGTATAAAACTTTCTTGCTGTTTTCACCGAGAGCGTCGTCCCCTCCGGCTGATTCCACTAATGATTAATTAGCTGCTGTTTGGCTGAAGGAGGAGGCGTTCAGGTCGCTGAGTGCAGCTGCTGCAGCTTCAGGTTGGAACGAAAAGTTGTAGCTGATTAAAAATGACTTGAGAGAAACACAGAGTACATACGACTCAGGAGACGTGGAGAAGGGTGTGTGTGTGTGTGTGTGTGTTGTGTGTGTGTGTGTGTGTTCAGTATTTTGAGAGGTGTCTGGAGAAAAGCTGGGGGTGAGATCTGCTCTTAAAAAATTAGCCTTGACCTGTAAGTGATTTACGGGGTCCCATGTGGCGAGGAGGTGTGTGTGTGTGTGTGTGTGTGTGTGTGTGTACCACAGGGCTGTTAGCATGCAGCAGACCCTCACGAGAGGCCTGCACACACACACACACACCAAACACTTAACTGTTTACACACACTGTTGAAACCTTCGTGTAAAACACGGACAGCAGGAATAGATTTTCTTGTCTTTCTCTGAGGGTGCGGTGAGACCGTGTGTTTTAATGTGGTTTCAGGGGTCTCATTGATAATCTCTCTCCTTCAGCTCGGTGTAATCAGCCTCATTTCTACTTCCCGCTCTTGACTCCGGGTGAAACGAGCAGATTTGAAAACGATGGCAGATTAAAAAAAAACAAAAAACCAAACAGGAATCCTGGGAAATCTTGAAAAGTCAGTGGGCCTCAGTTTGCATGACTCACACGAGCTGTGTTCCAGTTCAGGGGCTCGGCTCCTTGAAGAGGCCTTCGTGGTCTATGCACCCTATGTAGACCACAGAGGCCGAACCAAACTGAGAGTCTGGTCAGAACGTTTTAATACACTTGTGACACTTGTATCGTTCGCTGTTTGAGTTAAAGCTTGATAATCGAACACTGGACGTCTTGTCGCCTGCTGGTTTGTCACCGAAGCGCAATGAATCCCGGGATAGGTCGACCTGAGAGGGATCCACCTGTTGGAGCCTTCGACGAGAGGACGCATTTGAGATGTAATAGACTAGTCCCTAAAGATGCATCTCCACTTCCTCCCACTTTCCAAACATGGCGCTAAGAAATATCAAGGATGCGATCGCAGCCACCGCTACGTCCCCGATGTGTTTGTATCCAGGATATTTTCTTTTCTTTTCTGGATGTTTGGAGGAAGTGGAGACGCGGCGATAGGACTGATTGTCACTGTCTGGGATTAACGTTAGGAATTAGGTTGTGATGGTTGAGTGAGGACTGTAAGTGACTGGGAAATCTATTATGTCATTTGTGTCCCACAAGGATAGAAGTGTGTGTGTGTGTGTGTGTGTGTGTGTGTGTGTAATCCCTCTGTTGGAATAAACATGTTTTTTATCTAATGTCTAAGGTTTTCGTTCTGTTTTATTCCTCCATCTTTCTCCTCCACCCTCTCTGGCTCAGAGCGTCTGTGATCTGTGGGAGACGTCTTTAAATTACTTTAAATGCTCCTCCGGGACTTTGTCCAATTTCCAAGTAAATCCACAAAACATCTTTTATCGTATTAAGACCAACAAACGAAACAGATCTTTCTCAGTGTCGTGCCAGTGGAGGTTTATTTTGCCATAAATTTTTGGATCAAAGAGATTCTTCAGTGTGACAAGACAAACGAGAGAAGAGAGAGGGGGGGTGGGGGGGGTTTGTAATTATTGTTTTTAAAATTAAAACGAAAGGTTTTTGTTCTTTGTCTTTTCACATTTACATTTACTTCTGATTCATGAGGAGCCGGGGAAACGTGATTGGCTCATTGTGGAAGGGTCAGAGGTCGCAGATGACTAAAACCCCCCAGGGTGAAGAACTATGTTGTTGTGGGTGGACACACACACACACACACACACACACACACACACACACACACACACAGCCTTTCTACACAGTGTTTGCTCACCGGCTTCTTTAAATAGAAGTGTTGGTTGTTCAGTCTCTGAGATGCTGTAAACTCACTGACGTGTGTTTGGTCAGTGTTTTTGTTCTATTTGAAATTTAGGGCGTTCTTGAAACTTTGATCAAAGTCAGTGACGAAAAGTAATTGAATACTTTTTGTACTTTTTAAGTTCTGTACTGTCAACACAATTTAGAGATACTTATAATCTTTGTGTACTTAGCCGGCACAAACGTCAGGAGCGACAGGACCAGGACGTGACTTGGTTTAGTGTGAGAGGTGGACAGGTCATGGAGAGACGATTGGCCCGGGAGGAGAAATAGTTTTGATGGGATTTAGTCGAAGGTGGCGTTCCCTCCTTCACGTGGACATGTCTGAGAGACGAGCTGAGAGACTGACGTCATCTGGCAGGAAGGAAAGGTGAAGCTGGGTGTCGTCTGCATAGCGGTGATATGAAAATCAATGTGAGTGGAAGAGTTTAGTATAAATATATATGGGGGAAAGGTCCCTTGTCATGAAATGTTTATGTATATTCACTTAATTTCTATTAGAAAATACATTTAGTATAATTGTAACCTTGTTCATATTATAGTTATCAGAATAAAGAGGAAGGTTGGTGTCGTGCATATGTGCAAATTGTGATATATTAATATTGAATCATGTAACATGGCTCTTTGCTATGATAAGTGAAGGATTCTGGATTTAGTTCGATGGTGACAAACCTTCCAGAACCTCGACCGAGCTTTTACGTGACCTAAACCTTACAATATATGGGACACAGGAAGTGAACCCCGATCCCAGGGTGTCCAAGTCATGTGCTTTGCATTATGGGTACTTCTGATGCCAAGTGTTCTGTTTGTAGGAACGAGGGGGTTTTGAACTGAAGTAATGTCCCATGAGATGTAAAGACACAAGCAGAGGGTCAAAGGTCGAGGACAAAAGAAATATGTCTGCAGGAAGAAGTCACATCTACCAGAGTCCGCATGTTATTTACAACTGAACCTGAAGACGCTGGTTTATTTCCTAAAAGTGGCTCCAGGACACACAAACATCTAAAAGCAACTGATTTGTGACTGATGAGGATGAATCACAGGGATGTGACCTAACTGCAGAATCAGACCCTCGTGTCCTCACAACATGCTGAGGTTTTGTTTTCAGGTCATCGCATCGTTTGTTGTCTCGAGTGACTGATTAACGTTGAGCTGGAGTCGCATTAACACTTAGCTCTCAACGCTCCGCTTTGTCCAAATGTTTGGATTAAGTTTGGAGGAGAACGAAGGGAGCGGCGTGTTTGGAAAGACGTGAGAGGGAGGAGGTGAAATACACAATGTTCGGAGGAGGTGATGGGAAAATATGACGGAATTCTTCAATTTAAACTTTTCTCATACGAGTTTGTTCAATTTGCACAAAGTACCGATGAGAGTTTTATTGCTTCAGGTTAAACAAGATATAAGAATAATGTGTTTGAAACCTGAGGAGAGACAGGCTAACTGTTTCCCTCTGTTTCCAGTGTTTTATGCTAAGCTAAGCTACATGTCTCCAGTCTGCAACTTCATATTTATCGTTTAGATGTGAGGATTGAGCCGATCAGAACACGTAACTAACATTTATTATCTTTATTTATTGGACAAATCATCAGAAAAAGGTTTAGTTACAACAAATACTTCAGCAAAAGTATAATTTATAAGTTAATTTAAAAATCACAATAGTAGAAATGCCATTAATAAAAATACTCCTGACACACACACATACAAATCGATTTTGATGCATTAAGGTTAATGTAAAAAATAATCATATACAATTACCATTATATGCAAAAGTATGAAGTACTTTTCAATACATTAATAATATTTCATCTAAATATTGTCGAACAAAGTGTGTGTGTGTGATTTCTCTGTATCTCTGCCTGTCCTCCCGTCTCTCACCCTCCTGTCTCCATCGCCCCATTTGTCTCAATCTCTTCTCTCTTTGTCCTCTGGATCTTTTTTTCTTTTCTCTCCTTCTCCGCTCTCGAGTTTTTTAACCCCCCCCGCCCTTCTCCCCCGCAATGTGCTGTGTTGTGTGTGTTGATACCCAGTGTTCCTGTGTGCTCAGGCCGAGTCCGAGCCAAAGATTAAAGACTCTAAAGTAACACAATCTCTTAAATCTATTGACATGAACTCTATCGCACACAGCGT